TCCACTCACCTCAGCCTCTCAAAGGCACGGGATTACAGGCTGAGCCACCGAGCCCGGCATCAGGTAGAATTTATATTTTAGTGGGGAGGGGGAGACAAATATTTCAAATAGTGAAGAGTGCTTCAGAGTAGTAAGACAAAGAGTGACTAGTAAAGAAACTACTCCTAGCCGGACTCAGTGGCTCAGCCTGTAATCCCTGGACTTTGAGAGGCTGAGGTGAGTGGATTGCCTGCGCCCGCGGGGTTCGAGACCCGCCTGGGCAACTTGGTGAGACCTCATCTCTACAATAAATCAGAAACTTAGCCGGGCGTGGTAGCGTGTGCCTGTAGTTCCAGCTACTTGGAAGGTGGAGGTAGAAGGATCGCCGGAGCCCAGCAGGTCGAGGCTGCAGTGGCCGGGAGTGGACCACTGCACTCCAGTCTGGGCGACGGAGTGAGACTCCAACTCAAAAATAAAAAAGAGACTACTCCTAGTGTTGAGAGAGAAGGCCTCTTTGAGGAAGTCATATTTAAACTAAGAGTTGAGTTATGACAAGACAGCCTTGGGAAGATTTGGGGGGAAACATCAAATGCAAAATCTGTATTCAAAAGTGTATCATATGGTTAAGATGGTAAATTTGATATTGTGTGTTTTTTACCACAATTAAAAACTTCAAAAAAAATTTCACAGATGAGCTGGGTGTGGTGGTGCAAGCCTGTATTTCCAGCTACTTGGAAGGCTGAGGTGGAAAGATCACCTGAACCCAGCAGGTGAAGAGCGTGTCACTGCACTTCAACCTGGGTGACAAAGCAAGACTCCGACTCAAAAAAAAAAAAATTGGGCAACCCCTTCAGGTCCTCTTCCACTGTGGGAGCTTTTCTGTTCTTTCAATAAATCCTGCTTTTTCAAAAAAAAAGATGAGATTATCTTTACTAGGATATATCACAAAACAATATCTTATTGAAGAGCATAGATAGTTTGATTTGTGTATATCTGTTGTGTTTATTAAATACTTGTTATTTTAAATTTTAACAAAATTTTTTTTCTTTTCTTTTGAGTCGGAATCTCACTTGTCGCCCAGCTGAAGTGCAGTAGCATGCTGCTCACGGCCACCACAACCTTGACCTGCTGGGCTCAGGCGATCCTTCCACCTCAGCCTTCCAAGTAGCTGGGACCACAGGCCTATGCTCCCATGCCCAGCTAATTTTTTTTTTAAATTATTATTATTTTTTGAGTTGGAGTCTCACTCTGTCGCCCAGACTGGAGTGCAGTGGCCGCTCCTGGCCACCACAGCCTCGACCTGCTGGGCTCTGGCGATCCTTCCACCTCAGCCTTCCAAGTAGCTGGAACTACAGGTGCGCGCTACCACGCCCGGCTAATTTTTTGATTTATTGTAGAGATGAGGTCTCGCCTGCCCAGGCAGATCTCAAACCCGTGGGCTCAGGCAATCCACTCACCTCAGCCTCCCAAAGCACGGGATTACAGGCTGAGCCACCAAGCCCGGCTCCAGCTAATTTTTTTATTGATTGTAGAGATGAGGTCTCGCCATGTTGTCCAGGCTGGTCTCAAACCTGTGGGCTTAGGCAATCCTCTCCTCTCGCTTCTGCCTCCCAAGGTGCTGAGATTACAGGCATGAGCTACCATGCCCAGCCAAAATTTAACAAATTTTAAGGAGAGTTAACATAAAATATTACCTATGGCATCGCTGTTCTCTCCTTTTGCAGCTTCATGTTACTCAGCTTTCTGAACTTTCTGCCTAGCATCTCATCTTCCCTCACGGCACCCTCTGAGAGGTGGGAAGAATCCAGGTGACTTCTCCCTAGGTGGGAGAATCAGAGGCATAGAATCACATTCATCCCTGTGAAGTGAGAAAAGTTAAGAGGGGTCTTGGCTTCCAATCTACTCTGAAACAATTGCTACTTAAAATTTAATGATAGAAACATACCTTAAATGCAAGAAAAATTTGTATGTGAAAGTGTTACCATTACAAATCAGAGAGGGAGGGATTCTACAAAGTATATTGAAACAATTGACTATTCTATACATTCGACAGCTAATATTTATAGATCTACTATGTTCCACACACTAGTCTAAGTGTTTTACATGTATTAATTCATTTTTCCCAATTTTGCATCCCTAACCCTTATCTTTCCCCTAAACTTCAGATTACTCTCTTATTCTACTTAACTCCACTTAGACATCTAATAGGTATTCCAAAGTTACCATGTCCAAAACAGTTTCTCCTGTCTCCCCTATGTGTGCCCCTTTTCCAGTCTTCCCCATCTTAGTAAAGATACCTCCAATTTCCACTTGCATTTTTTAAAACTTCAAATACAATTTACATACCATAGAACTTGCCTTTTTAAAGTGTACAGTTCAGCCGGGCTCGGTGGCTCAGCCTGTAATCCCGCGCCTTTGGGAGGCTGAGGTG